GAGCAATTAGGCAAGAAAAAGAAATAAAAGGCATCCACACTGGAAAGAAGTAAAATTATCTTTGTCTGTAGATAATACGATCTTATATATAGAAAATCCTAAAGATGCCACAAAACACTGTTAAAACTAATAAATGAATTCAGCAAAGTAGCACAATACAAAAATCAATGAGCAAAAATCACTTGCATTTCTATACACTAACAATAAACAATCTGAAAAGGTAAGAAAACAATTCCATTTATAATAGCATCAAAAAGAATAAAATACTTAGAAATTAACTTAACCAAGGAAGTGAAAGACTTGTACAGTGATAACTACAAAATGTTGCTGAAAGAAATTAAAGACACAGATCAATGAAAAGACATCTCATGTTCATGGATTGGAAGACTCGATATTGTTAAGATGTCAATAAAGGCATACCGCAGAGATATTGCAGATTTGGTTCTAGACCACTGCAATAACGCAAATACTACAATAAAGCAAGTCACACAAATTTTTTGGTTTCCCAGTGCATATAAAAGTTCTTTTTAGGGGCTGGCCCAGTGGCTTAGTGGTTAAGTCTGGCGTGTTCTGCTTAGGTGGCCCGGGTTCACCAGGTTGGATCCCAGATGCAGACCTACACTGCTCGTCAAGCCATGCTGTGGTGGCGACCCACGTACAAAATAGAGGAAGACTGGCACAAATGTTAGCTCAGGGCTAATCTTCTTCAAACAAAAAAAAAAAAGAGGAAAATGGGTAACAGATGTTAGCTCAGAGCAAATCTTCCTCACCAAAAAACAAAAAAATTTATGTTTATACTATATGGTAGTCTATTAGTGTGCAATAGCATTATGTCTAATAAAACAATATACGTACCTTGATTAAAAAATACTTCATTGCCAAAAAATGCTAACCTTAATCTGAACTTTCAGTGAGTCACAATCTTTTTGCTGGTGAAGGGTCTTGTAAAAAAACACAATATCTGCAAAGCCCAATAAAGTGAAGTTGAATAAAATGAAGTATGCCTGTACCATTCAAAGCAATCTATAGATTCAACGAAATCCCTATCAATCCCAGTGAGGTTCTTTGCAGAAAAAGAAAAATCAATCCTAAATTCATATGGCATCTCAACAGATCCCAAATAGCCAAATGATCTTGAAAAAGTAGAAAGCTGGAGGACTCATGCTTCTGACTTCAAAATTTACTACAAAGCTATAGTAATCAAAACAGTGTGATACTAGCATAAAGACAGACATACACCCCAATGGAATAGAACAGGGAGCCCAGAAACACACCCTCATATACGTGGTCAAATGATTTCTGACAATGGTGCCAAGACCATTCAATGAAGAAAGGAGTCTTTTCAACAAATGGTGCTGGGAAAACTGAATATTCACATGCAAAATAATGAGGTTGGACCCTTACCTAACACCATACACAAAAATTAACTCAAAATAGATCAGAGACTGGCACATAAGAGCTAAAATTATAAAACTTTTAGATGAAAACATAGGACAAAAACTTCACAACACTGGATTTGGCAATGATTTCTTGCATATGACACGAAAAGCACAGGCAACAGCAACAATAACAGACAAACTGACTTCATGAAAAGTTTTAAAATCTGTACATCAAAAGACAAGGGATCGGGACGAGCCCAGTGACGTAGCAGTTAAATTTGCACACTCCACTTTGGTGCCCTGGGGTTCGCAGGTTTGGATCCCAGGCATGGACCGATGCACCGTTTATCAAGCCATGCTGTGGCGGCGTCCCACGTAAAGTAGAGGAAGATGGGCACCTATGTTAGCCTAGGGCCAATCTTCCTCAGTAAAAAAGAGGAGGATTGGCAACAGATGTTAACTCAGGGCTAATCTTCCTCAAAAAAAAAAGATAAGGGATTAATATCCAGAATATATAGAGAACTTCTAAAACTCCATTACAATAAAAAAACAAACAACCCAATTCAAAAGTGGACAAAAGACTTGAATAGACATTTCTCCAAAAAAGATATACAATTGGCCAACAAGCATATGAAAAGATGCTCAACATCACCAATCATTATGGAAATGTAAATCAAAACTACCATGAGATACCACCTCACACCAACTGTTAGGATGGCTACTATCAAGAGAAGATAACAAGTGTTGGTGAGGATGTGGAGAAAGTGGAACCCTTGTGCACTGTTGGTGGGAATGTAAAACGGCACAGCTGCTTTAGGAAACAGTTCGACAGTTATCAAGTGATCCAGCAATTCCACTCCTGGATATACCCAAAAGAATTCAAAGTAGAGGCTCAAAGAGATATTTGTACATGCGTGTTCATAGCAGCGTTATTCACAATACCAAAAGGTGAAAACAACTCAAGTGTCCATTACCAAGAAATGGATAAGCAAAATGTTGTATGTGTATATAATGGAATAATATTCAGCCTTAAAAAGAAAGGAAATTCTGACACATGCTACAACATGGATAAACCTCAGGGACATTATGCTAAATGAAATAAGCCAGTCACAAAATGACAAATATTCTATGATTCCACTTTTATGAAGCACCTGAGTAGTCAAATTCATACAGGAAAAAAGGAGAATGGTGGTTTCCAGGGGCTAGAGGCACGAGGTGGAAGGGAAGTTATTATTTACTGAGTACAGAATTTCAGTTTTCCAAGATGAAAAGAGTTCTGGAGATGGGTGGTGGTGATGGTTGCATGACAATATGAATGCACTTAATGCTAGTGAATTGTACACTTAAAAATGGTTAAGATGGTAAACTCTGTGTTGTGTGTCTTTTGCCACAAAAAAATATTTTTGAAGAAAAGAAAAGAAAGCTTGCTCAAGGTCATACAGCTATAAGTGGGGCACAGAGATTAGAAGGCAGGTTGTCTGACCCCAAAGCTAGTGCTGAAGCCACAGCAGTGGGACACTTGTCAAAAGCACCACACATGTTCCTTCTCTAACCTTGCATCAGGCCTTTCTCTATAGAACCTGCTATCATTTATCAACCTCCTTTAAGCAGTGGAAGAGTGTTCTGATAGGCCTGGTTACACAGAGTAACAGAAGCCACAGCTTCATTCTCTGTTTCTAGTCTAAGAAATTGAGACAGACAGCACCATGTTCTGTCAGCTACCCATCTTTTTTGGGGGTGGTGGTGGTGTTTGTTTTAGGAGGTGTATACACGGGTCCACAAAGTTCATATTAACACACCAGTTATCACATCTAAAAATTGTAATGGCTGGATGAATTGGGCTACCAAAACCCTAAGCCTAGCCTAAGCCCTCTGAGCTGACTAAGTCGTAACCGGGGGAGGGGGAAGTCCTGGCTCCTGATCAGGACGTGGGTTCTAGGTGCGAGGCCACCACTGAGAGGGGCAGCAGCAGGTGGGCTGCAGAACAGAGATGAAAACACACCTGTATTTCCTCAGTCCCTTATTAGAGGGGTCAAATGAGATGATGGGACAGCTCCTTACTCAGGAAAGTAAAAAGTGCCAGACAAAACCGAGGTCTGACTAATATTATTTTTGGATGAATTTTCCTTTTATAAATCTAATTCCCTTTGTGAATACTGTCTTCTAGGTCCTCACTGCTGCCAGGAACCACCTACAAGTCCCTGATGAGAGACGGAGGAGGGTTCCCGGCCTAGCACACTGCTTGTGGCTCGAGGCTCAGCACTTTTCAGTTTGTGGGTAGGGAAGGGATCAAAAAGAAGCCTTTGTAGGAGCAGGGAAGGAAAGGAGGAACTGGAAACTGGAGTCAGGTGAAGTAGCCCCAAATCATCCATCCATATCCGCCTCACTCACAACGTCCAACCTCGCTGCTTACGTCTGTCCACAAGAAGAGCACAGTGTTGCTCTCCTTCCGGACCAGCAGTTCTCAATTGCTTGTCATCTGGCCACATGTGGAGACTTTTGTGACTGTCACACTGAGGGGCGGGGTGTGCTATGGGAACCTACAGGTGGCAGTCAGGGATGCTGCGAAATTTCCTACAATGCACAGGACAGCCCCCACAACAAAGTGGCCCAAAGTGTCACTAGTGCTGAGGGTATGAGCCCAGAACTCTGGCGGAGCAAGGCGCAGGCTGTGATGCTCACCAGCTGTGTCAAAGGAACAGCCCTATTTGAAAAGAACTGGGACCTCACTTGCTTCTTTCACAAGGAGTGAGGTCAGGTGCTTCTAGCTTCGTGCTTTTTTATCCACACCACTGCCAGGGTGTTTTTTAACTCCACGTTGACGCACTTGCCCCACACGCAGTCCCTGGAGTAGCTCTTGGACAAATGGCTGGAGGTCTCCAAGGCCCAGCCAGCCTCCCAACCTTGCCTCTCACGGCTTGGGGGTTTCTCCCTGCTCTGATCTGGCAGATTAATCAGATTTGAGTTTATTTGTAAACCAATAAGCACTCTAGCCACTCTCATCTTCAATAAGCCAATAGCCCTTTTGCTCTGTTTTCTCCCTCTGATTCTAGAATACTCTTAGAGGAACATGAGAGGCAGCACGGTGAGTAAAAGCCTGGCTTCTGGAGTAAGAGTACTGTGCCCTTGGGCAGGTTAAATGGAGAGTAACCGTCCTTACCCCACAGGCCTGTTGTCTTCAATAAACGCGTCACCACATGCCAAGTGCAGAGAACGGTGTCTGGGACACAGGTGAGAGCCAGCTATCACTACTGTCGATGGCCATGAGGGACCTGGTCCTGACTTGGCAATTTGTTAAGCTAGGAGGTAAATTTCCTTAGTGTTTCTGTGAGAGAAAACAAGCTGGTTTCTAAGTCAAGTCATCTTTCTTTGGGGAATAAACTAGAAGCTCAAAGCTCTATCATTTCAAAAACAGGGGTTACAAGAGAGTATGTTGTATCATCTTAGCATCACCTTAAAATGACTTCACTATGTAGTTGGTCATTTTTCTCTTTAGAAAATGCTTTTGGAGAAATAAGGCCCAGCTAACACACATATGATGAGAAAAACCTGTCTGGAGTTGAGACTGCAGACAAGCACATTCATGACAAGCTGGTCGAGCCCATGTAACACTATACATACCTTGCTCCCCGTGAGCTGTGCGAGGTGAGGTTTCAGCTCTTCTCCGATTACGGAATAAATTGCCACTAAGCAAAACACGCTGGCCTTACGCACACTACTTTCGGTGTTGTCGTAACCCTAGAGCCAGAAGGGGAACACAAAAAGGAAACGAGATCAAAGATTTGCTTCATAGTACTTCATCAACGTTTCTACAAATGCCCTCCCAGTTCAACCTTGGATTTGTCAATAACAACCAGGATACACCTTAGCTCTGCAACTGAACCGAGAGGTTTCACCCCAGAGAGGTCAAAACTTAGTGGCGTCAAGAGAGAGCCGGTCCCCGGGGTGGGGAAGCAGGACGCTGGTGAGTTCCAGAGGGCGCTGCTGTGTAATGAGCTGCCACAGCAGTGTCATCCAAAAATGCTGTCAGAGAGACAGATGAGAAAACAAAATGAAGGGGGGAAAACAACTTGCTTCTTTTATATTTCTCCCAATGGTAAGACAAATTTCACATGTGAAAATGCCTTTAAGGAAACGAGAACTACCTCACTCACTCTTGGGGGCAAACCTCTCTACTGTCCCAAGACTCCTGGGGACTGCCCAGTCCTATAGCCTGACATTCACACCCCTCTACAACTGGACCTCAATCTACCTGCCAGCGTCACCCTCGCCTCACACCCTATGGGACTACCTGCTGTTCTACAAACAACCCTCAGGATGTTTCAGCCTTGGTGTAATCCAGGCCTCAGCAGTATGTATTTACATTCCCAAGCCAAGTGCTCAGCAAGCAGCAGCACTTCTTAAAGGTGAAGCTGACTTCTCTCTACCCTTCCCCATTGAAACTGCTCTCTCTCTCCAGGGCCCAACTCTAAATCACCTCTTCTATGATCCCTTTCTCTCTGCCACCCAAACCCGGAAATCACTCTCCACCTCCAACGTCAGAAATCTTTACCCGCATCTCTCCACAGTAACTCAGCACATGACACCACCATCTATACTGGTCTGCATGGCTATCCTGTGTCCAACAGCAGGTTGAAAAATCCCTGAGGTAGTGCAACAACAGTGGGAAACATCCGGTATGTTCCAAAGTCTATCTAACTCAATGCCTGATGCTTAGAAGGGTTTCAATAAATATTTGCTGGCTATGTAAAAACAAGGACCATTATTTGATTTTGTACTCCATGGCCCACCTTGCCCAGTGCTGGGGCCCAGACATTTCCAAGAAGGCTTTGTTGAAGGAATGAACAACAACAAAAATGATCAAAATATGTTTATAGTAAACAGAAAGCTCATTCTGGGATCTGCAGTTCTAGGCTGCCAGGAACTCTTCCTGCTACATTCAGGGGAGGGTGGATGAGAGACAAGAGAGAAGCTGCGAGGCGTCCAAGCCACAGAACTTCACAGGTTCTAAAACACAAGTCACCATCTGGCTTTGCCCACCTGCCCCCTCAAAAGTCCGCACATCACTCTGAGTTGAGTAGCCACTGTTCCCGGCCTCACAGCCACATGCAGACAGGCGCTGGGCCACACCGCCACAAAGGGCCTACCTGCAGCAAGCCTGGGATGATGTCGGCGAGGAGCTGCAGCAAGGACTCCTTAGCAATCCTCTCAACGACTTTGGTCTGCATCTTGATGGCGGCAAGGTTGATGGGGTAGTCAGCGGTTTGGATGATGGGGCAGAGCACTTTGATGCACTGCTCTGGGTGGATGGAACTGGCCAGCGTGGATGCAGCCTCCTCGGCAGCTCTCACCACCTGAAAACACGGGTTCCCCCAAATGAGTGAGCTCCACATGCCACAAGGGGAGACAGACCAAATAATATTTCAGAGCCCAAATGACAGAGACTTCACTTACTGCCAGATGGCAGCCATCACTTCCTCCCACTAATTTTGATAAGGAAAGTAAAAGCAGAGTGCTTTGGTTAAAGGGGGATGGGGACACGGGAAGGCAGGTATAGGGGACTCTGGCAAAAACCTTAGACAAGTAGCTCTCTACGTGTGGTCTCCCACTGCAGCAGCAGCAGCACTGGGAACTTGTTAGAAATGCAACTTCTCGGATCCCACTTCTGAGATCTGCTGAATCAGAGACTGTGGGGGTGGAACCCAGCAAGCTGTTTTAATAAGCACTTGGGAGATTCTCATATACACGAAAATTTGAGAGTCTCTGCCCTAGAAGACAGGACCTGGAAATATAAATGCTTTCCAATGGCCTATGGGACACACACAACTGGAATAACCAGAGAGAAGCCTGGAAGGAAAATCAGAATCACTTCAATATTTATGTTTCCATAGATATTATGTGCAATATCTAATTGCACAGCAGTTGGGAAGGCTCAGAAAGAACTCTCTGAAGTGTTTTCTTGAGAGGACTCTCATGGAAAGTTGCTTTTCCAGGAATCTGTACTCATGCTATCACCTCACCTTGCACTTTTAAGGAAGTGTGTGAAATGGCCACCTTATGACCAAAGGAGTGGCCTCTGATCTTTGAAGAGACCTCGACGCTCCAGGGTACACTAAGGACATGTTCTACAAGTCACTAGAAGGGCCGCAAAAACCCTCCGTAATAAAGGTAGAAGCTAAATGCAAAACCCAGCAAGGAAGAAAGAACACGGGTCTGGGGCTTAAAGAGCTAGAAGCAATCCCAGTCACGCCACTCACAAATGCTAACCCCCCATTTCCCCATCTGTAAAATGGGGGTATCCCAGGGAGATCATCTGATGAGTGGTATCAAGTTATAACTGATATTCAGTAAATGACAGTTACTACTCTTTATGGCACAGGAGCACATATACTATATAAATGACACACGAAGACACCAGGTATAAACAGGTATGCATTTTCTTACAAAATACAATGAAAATCTAATACTTTTCTCCTCCTGCCAGCCCTGGATGGGTCATTCCACCCAGATTCTTCTCTGCTTTGTGTAATGCTATTTAAAACAACTCAGCTCTGTCTTTAACTCAGCAATGAGACAAGGCTACCACATCAAGCCTCAATCATCCCAGTGCTCTTGTGACTTAAGCAAAAACTGACCAATGAAAACAGCATAAGGACCATCTGGAAAGCACCTTCTAGTCCTGGGCACTAGTGTGCTAAGAAGTCATTCCATACAAGCCAAAGAGGGTACGAGACACAGAAAGGCAACTTGAGCCATCGGTGGACACATGGGCTGCTTTAGGTCACCTTAGGGCCCTGACTGAGGCAGTCTCCCAGAGCCCCAGGTCCTCTCTTTAGGAGGGGCAAGGTCAGATCTCAGGGCTCTCCAGTCACGGCTTCGGGACAAGATGCCACGCAGCTCAGCCTTGTGTTCAGTCCAGGCTACACTACCCTGTGAACAGGGCTCACTTCCGGAGTGTGCCTCACTGGCCCACGTGTCTGCTCCTTCTAACACTAGAGAGCTGAATTCATCTCATTTGAAAACTGACACATTTAAGACTGGCCCTGATGCTAATAGTGGGGTTTTCACTAAGAAGTTCCACTTTGGCTATTCATGCGCCAATAGCTGGCATTTAACACTATAAAAAACCTGGAAGGAAATGCACAATATGTTAACATTCATTATCTCAGGGTGGTAAGATTATGGGTAATTTTGTTTTCTTCATATTTGTTAGATTGGAAGACTGCAAAGAACATTATATTAACATGTACAGCAAGGAAAATGTATTCATAAAAATCTACTTAAAATGCCTTTTTCAGGTCAGGGAGAGTTAGCAGTCCAGCCCTTGGTTCAAGGTGGGAGGTGCTAGCATGCGGCACTCCACGATCAGGCAGCCTCTCTTAGGTCTTCCTGAACTGGATCTAACCCCTGGGAGGGAGCTCCAAGGTACTCCTTGGGTGTTAGCTAATATTATTATATTGTTATAAAAATCATTACTATCTCTGCTTATCTCCCACTGTTTCCATAAACTCTCCTCTGCTAAACCTGTAAACTCACTTCCCTCAAACGTGGCTGACACACGTGCTTTGCCCTTCCCCAGGCCTCCTTGACCATCGGAATGATCTCTTTTCCCCCAACTTCTAGAGTTTTTCTCTATTTCTGGCACCAATGTAGACTGCTTTGTATCCTTGCTGACATGCCCATGTGTATTTCTTCTTACTAAATAGGATGCAAAGGGCAGGAGCTAGAACATTTCTTTTGTACTCTGAAGTACTCAGCAGAGCTGGGCATTTACCAGGTGTTGAACTCTTACTGATAGACTCAACTTCATTCTCCTATCTGTCCAAAGATAAGTTCCTGCTTAAAGAAGCCCTACCTTCTTGAATTCTGAAAGTCACATTTCTTTCTTGTTGGGGGCCTTTTAAACCTTCCCTAGGGGGACCTGCTGTCTCCTTAAGGCATTGCCCAAAGGCTAGGTGTCTTATGAAACAAGATCACTCCCCCTATCATCACCCTCATGGTGCCAGGCCAGGTGGGGGTGGTCCATGCAGGGGGGCAGCATAAGGATGCAAAGACGCAGAAGTGGCGGGATGAGGCCACGGAAGCAGGCGGGGGCCAGATGGTGGGAATCTGCTACCTGAGGAGCTTCCTGTAGTTGGCCAGGATTAGATGGAAGGAGGTTGGTGAGGGGTAAAAGGAGAATGAATGTCTGCAGAAGGCTTCTCTGATGTTCTGTGGGGATTCCTCCAGCTCAAGGGCCCTCGGCCATGCAGAGCCAGCCCACCTTGCCTCTGCCTCCTCCACAGTAAGCAAGTGATTTGGGTTAGCCAGGCACCTCAAAATAAGTGAGCAGACTGCCCTGTCAGCAAGCATGAACTTGGTCATATTTATGGTATCTCACTCCACATCACATAGACATGGGAATGAGACTATTACAAGAAGCCCACTGTGACTTTTTCTTGCCAATTCAGTCTCCTGCAGAGTGCAGCTTTTTCCATACAGGTCCCCCGAAAGAAGAGTGCTGTTTGGCCCTGATGTGCGTGCATGACCTTTAACCTTTTACCCCAAGAAAAGCAGCCTCCAGAAATGGATGGGCACGTGTTCAGTCTCTCAAGAGCAGCACAGAAGACAAACCTCAGTTCAATCCTCTGGTAAGATACTTGTTATGAGCCTCAATTTTTTTTAATTCTAAAATGAGAATTTAAAAACATCTACTTGTACAGTTATTTGGATTCAGAGAGAGAACATACAAACAATTGTGGCTAGGGCCGGCCCCGTGGCTTAGCGGTTAAGTGTGCGTGCTCCGCTGCTGGCGGCCTGGGTTTGGATCCCGGGCGCGCACCGACGCACCGCTTCTCCGGCCATGCTGAGGCCGTGTCCCACATACAGCAACTAGAAGGATGTGCAACTATGACATACAACTATCTGCTGGGGCTTTGGGAGAAAAATAAATAAATAAAATTATACAAAAAAAACCAAACAAACAATTGTGGCTACAAAACACATGAAGGCTATAAACTAGGCCTTGGTGGAGGAACAATACCAGAGGTGAGGTTTGGCAGGAAAGGTGCTACCAAGAGGCATGGCATTGAACTTGGGAGCTCCAGGGCTGCCAGAGAGCAGAGGACTGTGCAGAGGACCGCTCTTACCAGTGTAGTGCCAACATCAAGTGGGTCTGCCCTCTCCAATAATCTCTTTAGAATGCTAACCTGATGACCAAGCCCAGGTTTTTCAATACGGCAAGAAAGAGCAACAAGGTCTGGCTCCTGCCAGCCTGTCTAGTCACATTTTTTGCCCTCCCTCTTCCCATCGTGCCCTGCTAAGACAGCTGAGGGCACGCCCTGCACATACCCTGCCAGCCAAATCTCAGAGCCCTTGTCTCCCTTCACTCTTCCAGAACGTAGTTCACTCGTGTTCTTCACTGGCTGGGCCAAGTCATCCTTCAGCACCCACTCACCTCAAGAGAACCTCCAGGAAGCCTCACGTGCACACCTTGACACTGCACTTAAACATTTTGCTGGAATTGTCTCTCCCACTAGACTAAAAGTTCCTTGAAGGCAAGCTCCCATCTCAGCCATCTTTCTATCCCCTATGCCAAGCACAATGTCCAACGTATATAAATTAGGTGCTGGATAAATGTTTGTCAAACTAATTTTCCTACAGTGTATACATTTTTAAATGTTCACGACTGGGAAAGCCACCCCTGGGGCATGCCTCACTGATGTGCGTTTACATGTTCCAACAAAGGTGCTACCCCAGGAAATGAGGAAGAGGCAAGATATCTACAAGCGACCAACTTGGGTCTTGGGAAAAATCAACTGTACGAGGCCCAGAGTGTCCCAGTCTAGGTGAGACACTGGAAAGGCAAGAGATCTATTCTATTCTTTGGAAAAGAGACTTTAGTTCAGGTTAGTTTTTTCCAGTAGTGAGTTGTTTAAAGAGGAGTAGCATATTTCTGAGAAGAACTGCATCATGCAAACAACTACCCAAGACGAAGTGCTCTTCTTCATCCTCAGTTCCTGCACACCCCTAAGGCTGCTGTAAGTCCACAGTGTCCTTGGGAAGGCCAATCATCTGGCATGTGGCTGAGTTACATACAGCTAAGCATATGGTGGCAAGTGGAAGAGGGGGTCCATCTCTTTTCTAATCTGGTCCTGCCATGAGACCGTGCTCAGAAACCAATGCCTTTCTACTGTAAGAAACCACTATTCATTAGTATCATAACATACTGGCCAGAAAGTTGAGTAATACCAACCAACTGAGGAACCTCTGGGTCTTCACTTTTAAACATGGAAAAAAAATGACAGGGTCAGAAAAAACTAGATGATTTCATAGATACATTTCATAGATACAAGTTAGAAAACACTGATATACA